GGAGCCCCCTTATGGGACCACAAACGTGTGAGGGATATGTGCCAAAATGGTCGCGGTGGGCGCATGCGGAGGCTGGCATTGGGGCCTGAGCTGGAGCTCCATATGGGGCCACGAAGCGTGCGAAGAGTGTGCCAACATGGGCGCGGTGGGCGCATGTGAACGCTGGCATTTGGGCCTGCGGTGGAGCTTCCTCTGGGTCCACGACAGGTGTGAGGGGTGTGCCAAAATGGGCGCGGTGGGCGCATGCGAACCCTGCCACGGGCCCTTCGGTGGAGCTCCCTATGGGACCACGAAGCGTGTGAGGGGTGTGCAAAAATGGGCGCGGCGGGCACAAGCGAACGCTGGCATTTGGGCCTTCGGTGGGGCTCCCTGTGGGGCCACCGAACGTGTGAGGGATGTGTGTCAAAAAGGATGCGGTAAGCGCGCGCGAACGCTGGCATTTGGTGCCTTCGGTGGGGCTCTCTATGCGGCAACGAAACATGCGAAGGGTGTGCCACCATGGGCGCGGTGAGCGCATGCAAGCGCTGGCATTGGGCGCTCGGTGGGGCTCCCTCTGGGGCCACGAAACGTGTGAGGAGTGTGCCAAAATGGGCGCGGTGGGCGCAGGGCAAGGTTGGCATGTGGTCCTTCGGTGGAGCTCCTTATGGGGCCACGACAGATGTGAGGGGTGTGCCGACATGAGTGCGGTGGCGCCATGCGACCCCTGCCGCTGGGGCCTTCGACGGAGCTCCGTACAGGGGCCACGAAACGTGTGAGGGGTGTGCCGACATGAGTGCGGTGGCGCCATGCGAACCTTGCCACTGGGGCCTTCTGCGGAGCTACCTACGGGGCCACGGAACATGTGATGGGTGTGCCAACATGGGTACGGTGGCGGCATGCGAACCCTGCCACTGTGGCCTTCGGTGGAGCTCCCTATGGAGCCACGACAGATGTGAGGGGTGTGCCGAAGTGGGCGCGGTGGCGCCACGCGAACCCTGCCACTGTGGCCGTCTGCGGAGCTGCCTTGGGTACCTCGAAGCGTGTGGGGTGTGTGCCAAAATGGGCGCGGCGGGCGCCATGCGAACCCTGCCACTGGGGCCTTCTACGAAGCTCCCTATGAGCCCCCGAAACGTGTGAGGGATGTGCCGGAATGGGTGCGGTGGCGCCATGCGAACCCTGCCACTGTGGCATTCGGTGGAGCTCCCTTATGTAACGTGTGCGCCGAACTTGGCGCGGTGGTGCCATGCAAAACCTGCCACTGTGGCATTCGGTGGAGCTCCCTTATGTAACGTGTGCGCCGAAATTGGCGCGGTGGTGCCATGCGAACCCTGCCACTAATTAGGGCCTTCGACGGAGCTCCGTATGGGGGCCACGAAACGCTGCCACTGGGTGTGCCGAAACAGAGGCATGTGGAGGGCAGAAGCAAGGAGGGGGAGGGAGGAAGAGAGGAGAGGAGAGGAACGCGGAGCGCTGTCTCTTCTACACGAGGACCCAACACCACAGGATGGTCAGGAACAACAAAAACCTTCTTATCACCAATCACCCTAAGGGTGGTCTGCGTATGAGGTATGATGTATGACTAGGGGCCCGAACCAGAGGGCGCCTGAACGTGGAGCTTCGCGGCGAGCGTCTTCACCGATTTCTGGTTCTCCAGATGCACCGCATTGATCTGCAGCGCCTGGCTCTGCCCACGCCAGGCATCCTCTTCGCCCCCACAACTTCATGATAATGTCTCACCCGTTTCGTTATCCTCCACCTAAGCCTCCGCCTCCTCCTCCATCTCCACCTCATCCCCCCCCACCCCCGCCTCCCTGCCCTCCCTCTACAATTGCACAAAATTAATACTACTCTTCTCTTTCCCCTGATGACGTCCGGAAGATATCCAGCGCCCCTCCGCGCACTGTTTTCTTACGCACAAAATTCCCGGGAATTGGGTTTCGCTTGGGTTTGCTTTCGAAATGTTGCGCTGGCCTCATGTTCGGGCTCCCGCTCGTTCCGAATCGTGCTCCCGCTGCAGCGCTGACCTCATTTCCGCGCTTCCGCTCGTTCCGAATCGTACTCGCGCTGCAGCGCTGGCCTCATTTCCGCGCTTCTGCTCGTTCCAAATCGTGATCTCGCTGCAGCACTTGCGTCATTATTTCCAGCGCCATGCCACGGCATGGTTTTCCGTCCTTCCAAATAGGCTCCCAAATCTAGAAAATCGCCCCCCGAAAAAACCATCAGAAGTGATTACACATTCGGTGCTGCCTCGTCGATTTTTGGGGCCGCAAAGCCCCCGACTTTGGGGCGTCGCCACCCCATGGTATGTCATGCTACGCGTTGGTCTTCAATATTCAACACCATGCTATGCTATGTAATGCTATGCCATGCTACGACATCCGACTGTGCGACTAGAGAGGAGATCTACGCCATGGTAAGGGATGGAAGGGAGGGGTAGGCCGTCAGACATGACGCGAGCGCACCTAGCTTGCCCTCCAACACTCCCCTACTCCCCTCCCTCCGTTCCTCTCTCTATCGCTCCTCCCCCTTGCCCCCCCCCGCCCGCCTGCCCCTCCTTCCCTCAACGCCCTCCTCCCCCACTTCCCTCCTATCCTCCCTCATCCCTTCTTCATCAATCCTACTTCTCCTACTTCTCCTCCTTCTCCTCCTCACCCTCCTCCTCCACTTCCGCACCCTTCCTCCTCCTTAATTGCCCCCTTCTCTGGGCGTGCTCACAACCGGGGGGGCACTGGGGCGGAGCGAGCAAGGGTCGCGAACCACGGCGGGGAGCCGCAGCTGGCGCCAACGACGACGGTTTCGGCATGTCCCCGACTTCAGAGGCACCAAGCCAGCTCTCTTTTTCTCGCATGCCAACGCCACCCCCGTGGGCGTCGAACTGAGGCCTAGAGCTGCGTTCCGTCGCCTGCCGCTCCCGAGTGTTGGAGGCGGTACCCTGTGCCAGAAATATTGGAAGCGGTACCCTGTACCCTGTGCCATCGACGGATTGAGCAAACTCGAAGCCGAGATGGTGAAGGAAGAGCATGAGTACCGCCTTCCGTTTCGCATGGCGAAGCAAGGAACGCCCCTCCAAAGAGAAACAGCCTAGGGATACTACCCAACCCACCCAAAAATTTGGCGGCACTCAGGAGGCAAGCTCTCGTGTGGATTTCGGCAGGGGGGCGCTTCGCTGGACTTCCAGGGAGCTTGGGCAATGATGACCAACTGCATGTTTGGCGGCACCCGGGGGAGGCGAGGTCCCTGTTCGATGCCGATGGGAGAGCGGCTCCGCTGGACCACCCAGGGGAGTAGGAAATGATGGCACCTCCTCAAGTGGCAGCATCTAGAGAGCTCTACTCAAAGCGAGGGCCCGACCACAAGAGAGAGGAAGAAACACAATGAATCACAACGCATACATGCGGAAACTGCATGTTCTTCCGGCACGCCTGCGAAATCGTTGCCTGGAGTATCAACGGCGATTGAAGAACCTCCGCGCGCCGATACTCCAACAGCAGAAAGGCGGTGGTGGTAGCGAATCACAACTACGCTGTTACAATCATACGTTGCAACATTCGTCAACCCTAGCCGTCACAAGTGCCCCACCGGCTCAGACAAAATGCATCCCAACAACATCCCGAGACTTGAGATTCAGGGGCGGATGAGTGCCGTCCGTGAATCATGTTCGATGAAGCGGGACAGAGGTGGAAACGACGCCTCCCTACTACATATCGTCTCACTCATCATATGATTCCCCCCGATTACCGTCCTGGGCCCACCTCACTCCTCGTTCTCACCCTGTGGGACTCCAAGACATCGATGACTGACCCGCAGTCGTAATCATAGACGCACTGTCAACATATGCGACACAGCTGGCCAACAACTGCCACACAGCAAAGAAGGAGCAGCAGCAACAGCACGCGGGAAGAGAAGGCGGCATAACAGGCGGGAGGAGCAAGAGGAGGGAGAAGGATTGATACAATCCATCACATGGCTACCTCGCAGATCCACCGCACGTAGTTAGTGGCACATTCGTGGCTGCCCAGCAAGTATATCACGCAAACGCCCAAACCCCACCCTCGCAGTTAGGCAGTCCTACATCACGGCTACCTGTTGGATCAGTGTTCCTCCCCTCCACCTCCTGGTCAGCCTGATCATTCCCCCTATTGCTGCTCATCCTGTTCGTTCCTCTCCTCATCCTTCCCGCCTTCTCCTCCTCATCCTCCTCCCCCCCACTCCGTTTCCCCTTCCACCTCCCCCATCCGCCTCCAGCTCCTCTTCCGCCTCCTCTCTCTCCGTCCTCCCCCTCCTCTTCCCATGTTTCGTTCCCCACCCCTGTTCCACGCCACCCCCCCGCCCACCCCATCCCCGCTGATCCCCCAGCCTCCGATTCTTCTTCCTCCCACCGGTCCCCCGCCCCCCCCCCCCTCGCCCACCCCGTGAACCCTTTCCTCTCTGAACCACAACCTCCGAATCAATCCCGTTCAGGTTCAGATTGTCCTGCCCATTTTCGGCCTCCAGAGGCCCTCACCGGGCCCCACGACCGCCAAGAAGCGACCAGGTATCAAAAATCGGCCCTCGCGAGAGGGACTGGACCTCCAGGGCAGCACGCACTGACAGAGAACACGACAAACTGCGTTCAAGCTGGCCCCCCGCGCTGCAGCCTGGCGGCCACCCCCCCCCCGTGTTTCGCCCCTGGCCATCCTCGTCTGCCCTTTCACAGATGCATCCTTCCGACTCCCCAACCCCCTCCCCTTCACCCTCCACCCTCTCACTCGCCGTTCTCCCCCTCTATCCCTCTTCCGCCGGCCCCGTCCATCCGCCTCCCCCATCCCCCCCTTCCGTCCGCCTCCTCCTTTTCTTCGCTCGACCCTCACGTTCCCGCTCGCACCTGCCCGTGCCCATCGCCCCAAAGCTCGCCAACCCGCCCACCCAGCGCCTTCTCCTCCACAATGCGTTCCACCTCGCCAGGCAGAACGTGCGCGGCGGCGGTCAACTGCTCCACCATGATTCTCACCATTTTGGCGGTCTCCACCTGGCAGTCCTTGTCAACGCCGTCGAGCTCCACAGTAAAGCCGTCGATGTTCTCCCTGCGCCTGAGCCCAATACCGCACCGCTCCACCAGGGAAAGCAATGATAAATGAAGCAGGGAGGAGAGCGGAAAAAAGGCAGAAAACATGAGGCTGCAGGAGGGCACCGGGGGGGCACAGGAAAGATGAGGACGAATAGCAGGTGACTGCACGTGGCCGATGAAGCGATGGGGGTATGACGTGCCTCTCGCCGCGCAGCATCCATGCGATCTCCCCAAAGGCTCCACGACTGAGGACTCCCAAGGGTCCGATGAAGACCAAGTCGAGCACGCCCGTGCAAAAATAGGGCAACGTACATCCGACCGAGCCGGAGAAAGCTGCCCCCTGCCTGTGCGCCAAAAAGATCCGGGGTTTTCCTATAGCTCGCCAAACGCCCGCCATCCAGCCTGCGTCCTCTCCATTCGACAATCGAGCTATCATCGCTAACTGCTTTCGAAGAAAAGAACAGGCCGCAAGGCTCTCGCTTCTCAAACGACTTCGCACTTCGCCTACAACGGCGCGCTATCCTGTCGCGCTCTTCACTGCTGCGAACGTACCGTTTCGACTGATATGCGCGACGCGGTTTGTCCCTCTCACGCTGGCTTCGAGCCCTGTCTCCCCGATGCATGTGCTCCACTTGCTCGTTGCTCTGTTTAGCTCCTCGTTGCTCTGCTTAGCTTCAGCTCCATTATTTTCGGCGACGCTTCGCATGCATGAATACGCGTTCTGATTATGTCGCGCGCGTGCAACCCGATGCCGAGGCCCTCCCTATGTTCCACGACGCCCTCGCCCTCCCCTTTTCTGCGCGCTCTTGCGCATCGGCCATCTGCATGTAAGATAAAACGGTCGAAACTGCTCGTTCCACTTGCGCACTTGACGCGCGTGTACTTACACGAAGCCCCCCGCTGCCACTCCGCGCCCCATTGAGGCCCTTCGGGCGGGCTTCGCGGCGAGGCCCGCGTCGACGCCCTCAGCGCGCCCGACTTGGCGTGGACACTGCTGCCCCAGATGGGCAAGTCCAAGAGACATCAGCTGCGCTGCCCACCGAAGATGCCGAGCGGAAGACGCCGCCCCTGACCTCGGCGCCTGCAAGTTGCAAGACTTAGCCAGGGCAAAGCCCCATCTTTCCATCCGGACGGCACGCCGCCATGCGCGAACGAAAAGGAGAACGCGGCTGCGGCGCCGTTCTCGCGCCAACTGTCCAAACCACCCCGCGCTGCACGGACCGAGAAACCAATGCGGCAATCGTTTCCGTTAGTCCCTGGCCCCTTGCCCTTCGCCCGCGCAAACATCCGGGTTCTCGGGGAAGTCGGGCGCGCCGCGCCCGTCTAGCGAAACCGCGTCGAAAAATGCCGGTACTCGTGGGTGAGCCCTTTCTTTATGTGTTTTTCGCTCTAAAACATTCCATCACTTGTTATTTGTTTGTTCTCTCTCTCTCTCTTTCTCTCTTTCTCTCTCTTTCTCTTTATATGTGTCTTTCTCTTGTTGTGTTTGGATTCTCTCTCTCTCTCTCTTTCTCTCTCTCTCTCTCTCGTTCTCTCTCTCTCTCTCTCTGTTTCTCTCTCTCTCTCTCTCTCTCTCTCTCCTCTCTCCCTCTTTCATTCATTCTCTCTCTCTCTCTCTCTCATTCTCTCTCTCTCTCTCTGTTTCTCTCTCTCTCTCTCTCTCTCTCTCTCTCTCTCTCTCTCTCTCTATATATATATCATTCTCTCGGCGCGATGTCCTCCCGCATCCGTCGTCGTTCGGGTTCTTGCAAGGTGCTCGGTGAACAAGGGTTGCAGCAATGCTTTCTCATGGACGCCCGCCCTGCACCGTGGCTCTCCGCTCGGGGGCTCTCCTCCGGCTTTTTTTTTACCCGCGCGAAACGCACGCCCAATCAAACGCGATCTGCCGCGCCATGCCTCGCGTAGTGCGACTGCGTCGCACTCGGGCAGCCTCGGCTCGGACGCAAGCGCCGCCTCGATAACAACAGACGATTCGCTTGCACAGCTACCTCGAGCGCGCTCGGCAGAAATGTGGATGCGATTACTAAGCCGCGCGTTTACCAGATCAGCGGGGGCTGTTTGGCTACAGAAGGCGTCATTGGCGAAAGCAGCGTGGGTGCTGGCCCGGCACCGCCGTCGACCCGCTCGCGACGGCTCTCGCAGCGGGCCGCGTCTGTAGACGAGCTGCAAGGCCGCGAACTGGGCCCGCGAGCATCCGGCGGGGGCCGCGCTGGCGCCCAGGCCGGGCACCGCGCCTGCAGCCGCTCCAGCTAGCTCCGCGAGCGCTCCCGCCAGGCCAGCAACGTCGCCCCCGGCCTCGCCGCCAGCCGCCGCGCCCGCCTCCAGGCCCACCCCGCCAGCCGGCGCGGCCATCGGCTGGGAGCGCCGGCGGGGCCCTCGAGCTCCTCCGCCAGGCCGGCGACGCCGCCCGCGGCTCCGGGGCCAGCCGCCCGCCGCGCCGGCCAGCGCCTCGAGCTCGGCGACGCCCGTGGCCGCGCCGCAGCCCCCGCCGGGCCCGGCCGGGCCGCAGCGCTGGCGTAGCGCCGCCGCGGGCCCACCGCCGCGCTCGCGGCCTCCTCGGCCGCCGCGCCAGCAAGCCCTGCCGCGTCGTCGTCGCCGGCCGTTCGCACGAGCTCCTTCCTCCACGGGCACTGCCGCCTGTCCGCGGGCGAGCGCAGCGGCCGCCTCGTCGGCGGAGAGGCGGGGCGGGCAAGCATGCGGCATGCGCGCGGCTCTCCGCCAGAGCTGCGCCACTATGGCGCCCCGCGCCTGCCTCGCCCATCGCGAAGCCCCGCGGCCGCGCCGCCGCCGAAGCCATCGTGCTAAGGAGCGCAGAAGTCCCCGGGCGCGGGCGCGGCTGGCCGTAACACGACCAGATCAGGGGCCTGTAGGAGACGCCCTCGCGCTCCAGCTCGGGCAGGTAGTTGCTGTAGTGCGCGAGCTTCTCCCGCCGCGTGCTCTCGCAGCAGCCTTCGCCTCCGCCGGCCGCGTCGGTCGAGGCCGCGCCCGCGTCCAGCGCCGCCAGGCGGCCGGGGGCGAGCGAGTGGGCCGCGTCGCGGATCTTGTGGCGTCCGCGGATATTTCTGTGGTTCTGGCCGCGGCGTCGCCCTGGGTGCGCGCCAAGGCGCCCCGCCGCGGCGCCCCCCCGGCGGCGGCGACGAGGTCCAAGGCGGCGCCCCCCTCGTCGGAGAGGCGCTGGAGGATCGCCCGGCGCGGCCCAGTCGCAGCTGCGAGCTCGGCCCGGACCGCGCGGCGCCAGAGAGGCATCGTGCTCAGCCCTGGCGGCCCAGCAGCCACCAACTGGGCCAGGCGCCCACGCCCAGTCGCCAGCGAAGCGGCCCGGTTCGCGATCTGCTCGAAGTGCATGCCGATCAGCAGCCCGCCCAGGACGCCGACCAGGCACCGCCCCCAGGCATGGGCGGATGGTCCGGAGCCGGGAGCGAAGCGGATGGCGGGCTCGACGCCGCCGCACTCGTAGACGGCATGGGCGAGGGCGCCTCTGCAGCCCGCGCTCGACGCGGCCCCGGCCGTCGTCGCAGCGGAGGCGGCCCGCGAGGCGATGTCCAATGCCCTTGCCAGCGCCGCGCCCCACGTCGCCATGGCGCGACCCAGCCGCGCAGGGGGGGGGGGGGGGAAGGGCGGGGGCGCTGCCCCGCGAGGCGCGGCGCCCAACGAGGGCGCGGCTTGAGCCAAAACCAAACACTTCAGCCAGAACAATCACAATGCCCATCCGAGTCTGCCCTCGCAAGAGCGATGGCTCGGTCGCGCTCGAGCGCCGTTGGTGGCACTTCCACGCTCGAGGTCTGTTCGCCCACTCGACTTAGTTTGCCCCCCGCCGCGCGATTCACGTTCAAATTCCACCTTCCATCATGCAGCGCACGCGCCCTGCGTCGCCGCGATGATGCGCCGTTTCGTGGGCCTCCTGCCTTTTGAAACCAGGCAAGTCTTGATGATGTATTATGCGCATCTCTGTGTACGTCTGTTCTTTCCAAATGCACACCAGTTCGAGTTCCAGTTTATGTTGCATGATTGCCGCATGTCATCAGAGTTACTGCAGCTGCAGGGTGATCCCACGCAGCCCCGCTGCACTCGCGCAACCCCCCCTGCCCCACCTGCACTCGCACAACCCCCCTGCCCCCCCCCCTCTGTCACCCTCTCCGGCGAATCAGCCCCGCGCGTTTCCCCCATGCTCCCCGCGCCAGCCGTGGCATCTTCGGCCCTGGCGGGAATACCTGTGTAACTGCTGTGGTAATGGCATATCCGATGTGGCCCCATATTCCCTGGACGCCGTTCGACTGCGCGGCTTCCTCGCACTCGCCGCTCGCGTCTCTCATGTGTTTCTGGACCACATCGAGGAGCATCTCCCTCAGTTCACCTGTATGTGTGCCATCATCAAGGCCACGCGATCTGCAAGCAGCGCAGTGATTCATTACTTGATGTCTTGGCCACGGTCTATATCTCAACGTAGACTGGGACATGATGCCCCAACATGCCACGTTGTTGAAACAGTCCTTGTCGGCCCAATTTGATCCACATGTCCAGTTTGCGAAGAATGCCCATCAGCGGTGTCGAGCACATGGAATGGTCGATAATTGATCCCGAACCCCTCCAGGACAAATGCGAGCCATGTCTTTAAAACCGTCGATGCAATACTCACGTGCTTCCCTGGCAGCGTGCTTATGTGGACGGGCACCGTCGTTTCATGCGACGGAGCTGTTACATTGATATGTTTGTCTGTCCGTGCGTGACGAACTCCCGTCACATCTCTGCGGGTCCAACCTCCGCAACCAACGCCCGCCTGACACGATGGTAACGTGAGATCACCAGTTTTCTCGATTTGCCGCTTTATCCATTGCAGACTGCGGCTTGTGCTCTCGGGAAGGACGTACAGAGGAAATCTGCAGAGGGACTGTCCGTGCACATGTGCACGTGCAACTTGATGTTTGCAATTCTGCCGACGATGTCTTGTGAACTCGGCGGCGGCACCGTCTGCTGCACTCCATGTGCGTACTGGCCAAACAGGACTGCCATCCCACAGCCCTTGTTGGCATACCTATATGATCACCCTTCGGGTGATAAGGCGGCCGACTGACGACAATTGCGATGGCTGTGATGATGACGAGGCTGGCGATGCGCCGTCGAGTGGGCGACGACGCGTGACAACGCTGCGTCGCGATGTGGTCCCACGATCGATCCCACTCGATCGACCTCACCATCACGACAGCACCAGGGCATCATGAGGCCAAATAAATGCCGCCACTACTGTGCGATGATGAGTGATGATAAGTGTGATGGCTGGCTGCTGATGGCAAGTTGATGGCGCAGTGGTGACGAGTGTGGCGGCGACAGCAACGACGGTAGTGCTGAGTACATTCGGAACACTATCGGAACACGATCGGGCCAAATTAAAGGCACAACAACAGCGCCGCGATGAAAATGTGACGATGCGGCGTCAAGATAATATCTCACTATCGATAACACTTTGTCGACCTCACCATCGAGACACCATCAGGAAACCATCACGACATCATCGATATCACTATTGATATCATTTTCGATTTCATCTCACTGTCGCTGTGACTCGATGGATCCCATCTTCGCTCTCGCTCGATCGATCTCACTGTTGACCGCTCCTTAGAATTCACTGAAGATCCCACTATCGGTCACACTATCGATCTCATGATCGATGTCACTGTCGGCCTCACTATCGATCTCACCACGGGACACCACGGGACACCGAACGAACTCGACGGGACATCGAAGAGACACCAACGGGTCACCCGCGGGACACAAACGGGACACCATGGGACACCATCGGCACACCATCGGGACACCAATCAAATTCACTTTCGACCTTCCTGTCGATCTCACTCGTCCGATGTCACTATCGATCTCACTCGATCGATCTCACTATTGATCTCACTGCAACTCACACTGCAGACCCCCCTATCGGTCACACTATCGATCTCACTATCGCTGTCACTATCGATCTCACCATCGATCTCACCATGGGACACCGCAGGACACCGACGGGGCACTCGCGGGACACCAACGAGACACAGACGGGACACCATCGATTTCACTTTCGATCTCCCCATCGGTCTCACCATCGGGGTTACTACCGATCTCACTCGCTCGATCTCACTATCGATCTCACCATCGGCCTCACTATAGATCTTACCACGGGACGCCGACGGGACACCGATGGAACACCGACGGGACACGGGACACCGACGGGACCCCGAGGGACAGCGACGGGACAACGACGGGACAGCAACGGGACAGCGACGGGACAGCGACGGGACAACGACGGGACAGCCACGGAACACCAACGGGAGCCCGACGGGACACCACGGCGGGACAACCCGGCCACCGCCCGCTCACCGGGGAAGGAGGAGGGGCGGTCAACAGCTCTTGACCCGCCCTAGCCACAGCGGAGTCATTCCTATCGCCCGCCCACGCAGATTCGGCTCGCCCGCACGCACGACACGAACCCGAAAACAAAACCGAGATCCCCATGGGGGGCTCTCCGTTCCACTTCGATCACACACCCCTTAACATCCAATACATTTCTGATACTCCCAACCAAAGTGCGCAATTTGAAATATGGCGAGGCCCACGAGGAGGAGGAACACAAGGATAATTTCATTCAACGACGTTGAGGCTCTGAATCTGGCATTGGTGAAGACGACGACGACGACGACGACGACGACGACGGCGCAGGCGACCGACCTCGGGCAGAGGAGACTCCCCCAGAGTGCCTCATCTCTCCGAGCTGGACCTCACCACCGCGCGAAAGGCAAGGCGGGCCACCCGCCCTCACCACCTCGCTCGTGCCCCTGCCCTCCGCGTTCCACTCCCGCTCCCCCATGCCGCGCCCTCTGCCTGTGCCACCCTCCTCCTCGTGCGCGCCGCGAACTCCCCCCCTCCCCTCCTCCCGCCCTCCCCCTCCTGTCCGCCATTCCTGCCCCGCACCCTCCCCAGCTTCTACCCCTGCTCGCGAGAGGCGGCGCCGCGCTGAGCTGGGCGCCAGTCCCCGATGCCGCTCAGGCCTTTCGCTATCTCTTTGACGCCCTCCTCGAGGCATGAGCCGACAAAAGCAGGCAGGCAGGCAGACAGATAGAAAACTACATGTAGACAGACAGGCATAAAGGCAGAAACACAGACAGTTACAGCCAGACAGACAGACAGACAGACAGACAGGCAGACAGGCAGACAAGCAGACAGGCAGGCAGGCAGGCAGACACACCAGCACACAGACACATACCGAAAAACAGACAGGCAGACAAGGAAAGAGAGGTGGATGGAGGGAGGGAGCGAGAGAGAGAGAGAGAGAGATAGGGGGAGACAGAGAGACAAAGAAGGCAGGCAGGTAGTCATGCAGAAGACGGGCGGATGGACAGACAAACATAATGCCTGAATGAACGACTGACAGACTGGCAGAGACAAACAGACAGGCAGGCAGGCAGGCAGGCAGGCAAACAGACAGACAGAGATAATCAGAGAACGAGAGACTGCCCAGAGGGACCGGCCAGCTCCTTGCAAGCTCATAGAAAGCGTCTGAGAAGAAGCCGGCTCGTGGGAGCAAGGCCCACGCACTGGTCCAGCGTCGGTCCCCGAAGGTCGCAGCAAATGCTATAATCTCTCAACCTGTCCGGGCACGGTCTGCTGGGCGCCCGAAGTGGGTTCGGAAAAAATGAGCACGATGCACAACGAACATTTTTGTCCCAAACCGACAGCGGTTGCTGTTGGGCAGGCGGCCGTTCGTCTCAAATGGACAACGTCCGCCCGCGGCGACGCCGACAGCGAACCCTGTCCAGAATGAACACGAACTGCTGTCGGTACTCGCACCCATTATTTCCGTGCCCATTTCGATCGCCCTGAGTTTCTCGAGTACGTTCATTCTACGCTGGTGGGCCTCGCGTATACAGTCAGCCCATATGATACGGATGCGCCGTAAGGATGCAGGGGCCTTGAAGGACATGTCGACACTCTGAGAGCGGGGCGCGGCCAGCAAAAGCGGCCAACGATGTGCGGAAGAGGAAGGGTGCCAGAGGGAACTTTACATAATCGCTCATCCTCATTGTGCGGGATGACTGTACCCAAAATCTGAACCACGGCCGCGCACGCGCGAGCTGTTCCACCTCGCGGTCGCTCCACTATCCGGGTTCTGGACGACACATGTAAAGCCGGGAGCTAGGTTCGGGACGGGCGAAGCGAGGGGGATAGCAGAGGAGAGGTAAGCATGCCAATTCACGTAGCTGCTTTCTCCGGCGCCAGGAGGCGCGTCAAAGAAAGCCCCCGGCGGCGGAGTCGAAACCAGCTGCACGCAGTAGATTTCGTACCCCGCCCGTTCCCCACCCTCTCCCTTTCGTGAGGGGCAACGATAGGGGGGGACTGGCATAGGGGGGGATGCATCGACCTGGAATCGGCGATACATCGCCGATAGATCGGCGATAGGCCCCCAATATTGAATCCGCATTTCCTGGGCAGATTGGGGCTATCGGGCCCCTTACACTTGGGGGTCGATGCATCCCTCCCTATGCCTATCCCCCCCTACCGTTGCCCCCGATGTCGTCCGACCCGAAAGACTGGAGGGGAGGGGCCAAAAGGCCAGGCCTTCTTGGGCTCGGGCTCGGCCGTGGTGGCGCACCCAGGCGCCACGAGCGCACCGAGGCATGAGCAACGCGGGGCAGGAGCGGGCGGACGAGGGCACAGCTCGACGAGCGAAGCAGCTCACTGGCGGCCGAAAACAGGTACAGCGGGGAGAAACGCTGGAGGGAGAAGCGAGCGAGCGATAATCCGGCCCTATTGCGAGTAGAGCCACGCAGCTCTGGGTGGGACGAGAGAATCATAGCCCTAGCCTCGGGGAAAAAAAACATTGGCAGCATCTCCTGCCGCGGTTACGAATTGGTTCCCCAAATTTCTCCAGTCTGGAAATGTTTCGCCATATGCGTCGAGCTGAACACTAATGCCACAATACCATCTTTGAATCGGCTCCCCCAGCGCACTGCCGATGGAGGAAGGGAACCTCAAGCCTTCTGGAATTGGGTTCGGCCGTGCGGGCAACAACGCTCCGCGGGGGAGGGGAGCCCGCCAGGTGAACAGCCAGGACGCGCCGCGCCGATGTCCTCCGTCTTTGCACCCAACTGCTCGGTGTCGACCTCCATCTCGTAAAGCAGCTCGCACACCTTCGGGTCGGATGAAAAGGGGGGGTAACAGAGGGGGGGTTAGCGAATCGACCCATCGTCCTCGGCACCCCAGCCGAAACGTTCCGAATTCCCTAAGTTCCGCTGTCTCCCTATGTGCAATTCTGTCAGCGCGAGACGGGTGGTAGAGGTCCTCGTCCGCCACTTCTCCGTCCTCCTGCTTTGTCTAGCCCAAGCCCTCAGAAAACCATTTTGACAAAATGCGAGCGTGTCCTACGTCAAAACACTACCAGAAACTGTTGTATGAGTACGAACCGCCGCAAGTCCTCCGTCCCGTGTCCCTCCACCTCCTCCGCCTCCTTCTCCTCCTCCTGCGCCCTCCCCCCTTGACGCTTCCCCTTGCCATCCTGCTATGCGAAGAAGATGCGTCGATTCCCGCCTCCTGGGTCAACCCCCAGGTGGGCCTCGAGGGCTAGGCAAGAGTCAACCAAATGCCAATGGAAATCAAAACATCCTTTCGGCAAAACCGCTCCCCCGCCCCTTTCTCCCTGAGCTCCTCCTTCCGCAAAGGTTTCAATGAGAAGGCTCATGAAATCTCTAAGAGGTCTTACAGTGGGAACACTCGTGGAACCACTTGATGCCACGCGGTGAAGGCTTTCGCGGGCCCACTGGATGACCCACAGCGAGAGCGCTCGTGAATCCGCCGATCCGGCGTGTGAACTACAAGGAGCCCCAGCAAGAGCTTCATCTCTGAGCCTACGCGAATGTTTCAGCTCTGCCTTGGGGGGGGGCGCCGGGGTGGCTCTGCCGGGGAAAGGGGGGAAGGGGGGGGAAGCGGTCCTCCATCTTGCGTTTTCTTAAAGATTTGCGCATCCCCAAGATGTTTCGGGGGGTCCGGGAAAAGGGAGGAGGGGGGGCGGTCCCCCATCTGACGTTTTCTTATTGATTTGCGCATCCCCAAAATGTTTCGGGGGATCCCACGGACCCCCCTCAGATCTAGCCGCACCCCCCACTCGGAATGCTCCCCGGACTCCCCCCGGGACCTCTCCAGGCTCACCCACAGCGGGAACGAGGACGAGCGAGGACGGAGAGGGGAGCGAGCACGCGACGCAAAGGGGTCAGCGGGAGGCAGAGGATAACGAGAACTGGGGAGAAGAAAAAGGACCGGAAGAATCGAGGAGAAAGGAGGCCACAGAGCCGCGAAGATCACCGAATCCGGAGCCTCCCGGATCGGCGGCACTGGCAGGAGGCCATTACAATACACCAGAGAATCGACAGTGAGAGCACCAATGGGTCCACGGGAGGGCATGGAGGGCGAGCGCGTGGGGATCCACATTTCTACTCGTGGTTCCGCGCAACTCGTGGAGTACCAAAATACCGACAGTGAGAGCACCTGTGCATCCACGGAGAGGTGTTGAGTCCAAGGTGTTGAGTCGTGATTCCACTAAGTGGATACACTGTAGAACCACTAGTAGCCCACGACTGGAAGCACTGTGTATCCACTCGAGAGTCAGGATTCCATTGTGGCAAGCACTAGTTGGGGAAAGATGCGTGCAAATCCGCCGCAAGCGACTCAAATACGAAAGCGGGCCACATAATCAGGGGGCAACAGAAGGGGCACGTTGAGAAGGAGTGCGCATGCGCAGATGATAACATGAAGAAAGAGCACACAGTTCGGCGCACATTGGCTTACATTTGCGGCCTGAGCTCGCCCATCGGGGCTTTCCTGCCGAAGGACTGCGGACAAGCGACGCCAGACGATATTGTCAACGCGTACGTGGCACTGGTCATAACCAGCTTCAACTCGCAATGTGGGCTCTGACGTTAAACAATGGAGCGCTGAGCCGGAAACGCCCGCCGCGCTCACGAGAATCCCCTGGCGAACTTGCCCCACCCAACGACCGTCGGCGCAAGTCTGCTGTCCGAACTCGCCCTGGGGGGGGCCGTCAGCGAGAGATGCCAACAGTGCCGAGCGCAATCACCAACCTAAGCCGACGTGCGGGCGCGACTACGACAGAAATCCAAACATGGCCCCCTCCCCCCACACACACACACAAACACACACACACACACGCACACGCACACGCACACACACACAAACACACACACACACACACACACGCACGCACGCACGCACGCACGCACGCACGCACGCACGCACGCACGCACACACAAAACAAAAAACATCATAATCCATACTGCGCAATGCCTGGTTCGACAAGAAGGAGAGCGAGGGCGGGGGCAAAGAGAAGGAGGGCGACAAAACAAATCGGGGGCGCGGAGGAGGTTCGTGCCGCCTTGGCGTCCGCCTCCTCCACGCTCTTGCGCATCCGTTCCAGGGCCTGCTGCGTCCGGGCCTCGCGCTCCTGCCCGGCAGCTCACGGGCGCCAGGGTCGTTGGGAGCGTGACGCCTGCTCCTTGGCTGGTTGTCCGTGTTTTTTTGGGAGCCCCTGAGGCTCTGGACCCTGTGATGGGGCGCTCGAAGAGGCCACCTGGGCCTCCCTGGAACTCCTGTGGACGCCGTGGGCCAGGAATCCCATTGGCAACGCCCGACGTCGAAAAAGGGGGAGTAGGGGGAGGGTCGGAGAGGGAGCAAAAGGAGGTCACGAACAACGAGCATATTCCTGTCCGTGCCCTCGCGGTCAAGACTCCGAGGCGCGATCACATGGAAACGCGGTCCCGTGAATCCGTCCCGCGCGGAACATCCGCGCAAAGAAGCCCTGAATCGGGGGGGAGGGAAGAGGGCAACCGATAGAGACGAGGCATGTTAGACGACGACTAGAGCGAAAAGATGCCATGATAAGGTTGGTTCAGGCTAGGCGCCAGGATTTCCAAAGAGCAGATCAAAGCAGAGCAGAGCGCGCCGTTGTCCGCCCGGGCGGCGGGGACTAGAAGGCGCGGATGCAGGTTGACGACCGATGAGTCGAACCTACTGCGTTGTCCGTTGGTAGAGGACGATCGGGGAGAGAGGATGACATCTTTTCTGCATGCGCCGCGGGCGAGCAGCGCGAGTCCTGTCGAGCAGGACCGTCCATTACCTGGGCCGAGACAGTAGCAGGATAGATGGATAGAAAAGTGAAATGAGCGGACTTCACACGCGCGCCCCGCCCCGAATCCCGCCCGCACCGCGCGGGCCTCGGGCCCGCGGGAGACAGGGGCGGGACTCGGGAACAGAGGTGCGAGGTCCATTCGACTCGCCCTTCCATCCCCTGCAGCCGCCACACGAGACAGTCACGGCTAGGAGAGAAAGGAAAGGACCAACCACGTGGCGCGGGATTCCCAGGGGTGCCCCCCCGCCATGGACGGCCCGGGAAGCGCCCCGAAGAACGCCCTGGCACTCCCAGGCGACCCCCCGTCGCCACAGGCGACGGCGCTGGGGGGGGCAAGAGAAGAACGAACGGTGAAAAAGTGAAAACAATGCCGCGTCAAGATTACTGACGCGGGCGTTTCCATCGGCGCACAATACATTGTGCGCAGCGTATCAAAACACGCGGGCGCATTGCAAACCAAAGTCGGAACATTTACGTAGCGCGATCGAAAATGCTGAGAGAAGCAGCATTCACCGGGCACCCCTGGCCCTGAAACTATATAATCCAAGCGAGCTTGCGCGATCAAAGCTGCGACGACAACTGGGCAAATACATAAAGCTACAGGCGCCGTGTGCGAGGCGCCCCAGGCCCCGGAGATGCGCGAAAGAGAACCGAGGTGCTTTGGAGAAAAGCGTCGCTGTAAGAAATTATATAAATCACGACATGCACGTGTCGTACTATATGCTTGCGACATCTCATGGGAAGAACTTGAGATCCCCGACGCATTGATATCTGCGACGGGCGACCTGACCGGGCACCCCCGTGCCCATGCATCGCCGCGACGAAAGCTTCCTTCCATTTGCCTTTTGGACTGACGCGCTCGCGCGAAATAATTTGGAGTAGTTTTACTGCAACTACTCCGCGCGCAATCGCATCCCGCTCGGAGTGGTTTCCGATCCCGTTTCCGTAGTTTTTTCCGGGGTAGGGTTATCGACGTCTCCGGGATCGGAAACTACTCCGCCGAATGACCCCAGCTTCATGTCACGTTAGGAATCTTGAGAGGGATGGGGGAGATCTTCATCATAGCAAATTGAAGAAACTTTTGTCACGGCTGTGTAATGTCGAGGAGAATGTCTTGTATTTTTGCTGGCGACCTGCCCGGGCACTTATGCCCACAATACCGACAAGTATGCGGCGCGACAATATCGCATGACAACTGAAATACGTGCCGCATGGGTGCCATAAGATGTGTGACGACATCATGTCATCGGCGAGTCAATCAAGAAAATCCGCCAATCCGGCGTGTGAGTTGCTGAGAGCGTGGACTTGAGCTCGCTCAAGCTTCGCTCTGCAGGGGGGGGGGGCTCGTTATTTCCGACGTCATGTCCGACGTTGTTCGGTGCCCAGGGACATTCCCGACGCCATGTCCGACGTTTTTCGGCGCCCGGGGACAGAGGGGCATAGAAAACTCCACTTCCGGAGCCCCGACCGCCCAAGACAGCCCGAGAGGAAGCCAAGAGAGGCCCCAGAGGCCCCCGAGACAATGCAAGAGGACCCCAGATCGCCGAAACATCGCTCGAACCGCCCAAGATGCCCCGAAGGAAGTTCCAGAAACCTCCAAGACGCCCCCAGGATCCCTCACGACACTTCCCAAGAATGCTCAAAGACTGACAAATGTACCCATTCCCTTGGGAGAACGTATAATTTCTGCATATTCGTTTCTTGGACCTTCACAGTGTCCAAGACGGCACCAGAGCCCCCTAAGACACGCCAGCAGGCCCCCAAGAGGGCGCCAAGACCCACGTCACAAACATCATCACCATCGACCCATTCGCCACATCCTCATCATCCTCACCATCATCATCATCATCATCATCATCATCATCTCGCTCTCACCCCCCTGGATCGGCGGCACTGGCCGGAGGCCAGCCCAATAGATGCGACGACATCATGTCATCGGCAAGTCAATCAACGAAACCTGTGCGGATCGTTGTATTCAAGAACCCACGTGAAATTGCCGCGGTTACAGGATTGCCCCGCCGTGACCGTGATGGTTCGGTCAATCCGAATATACTCGTCCTCGTCCTCGTCGATGTAGATTCAGTCTTTATATGGCACGGCCAGTAGCGATGCGTGTTGTCGCGGTAGTGCTCCAGGGAACCACGCCACCATGTACCTGGGCGATGCCTGCGATTGCCCGCCGTTTTGGCTGCGCTCGGCGCGGCTCTTTGGACGTCCGAAATGGGCGCGGAAAGAATGGGTGCAACGCCCAACGGCAAATGTTGTCCCAAACCGACAGCGGCCGCAATTGGGCAGGCGGCCTCCTGTCTCAAATGGACAGAGGCCGCGGCGACGCCGACGGCCAGTCCTGTTCAAAATGAACAAGAATTGCTGTGGGCATTCTACCCTTTCTTTCCGTGCCCATCTCGATCGCCCCGAGGCTCGGCGCGGCCCTGCTGGTCGCGCGGCGCCGGTCTGGCGGCCGACGCGGCGGCGGACTCGGCCCGCGCGCCGCCGCAGCCATCGACGCGGCGGCTGCAGCGACGCCGCCAGTCCAGCCAGCGTCGCCAGGAGAGGGGCCGCCAGAGGACGCAGCGCCAGGAGGGGGAAGCAGCGCCCGCGGCTGGCCCTTCGCGGCGCGGCGGTGGAAGCGCGGGAGATGGAGCAGAACGAGGGTCGGTGACAGGGCCAATGCACTTGCCGACGTCTTTGCCCCCCCCACTGTTGACATGACCCGCTCTGAGCTGCGCCGGGGCCGCGCGGCCCTGACCCGCCCCTCCCCAGAGGGGGCGGAGAAGACCGCGAACCCCTTTTTTCCAAGCGCTCAGCGCGGCTCGTCGCTCCAAGGGCTCTGACTTTACGTCCAGCAAAACCTTTCGCAGCGCTGTGGCATGCAAGTGCGCGGCCGCTCCCGCGTCTTCCAAAATGAAGATTCGCCTGCCGTTCATTTCGCACTCGCGCGTCATCTGCTGCCAAGAGACAAGGCGCTCCTGGTGGCGATGAAGAACAGTCGGGCACGGACGGTATAAAAGACCCTCGGCGTCGTCAGGGTCAACCTCGGCGCAGGCCAATCGGCGTCGGCGAGCCGTCGGTGATCCCGCGGCGAGCCACTTGCGATGCCTGCTCTCTGCCTTCGAAGCCAACTTCCCGATGAAGTCTCTATCTTTTGAGGCGTCGGATCTCTGGGCATGCCACTCTGACGTTTGCGCCGGCGCGCAATATTCGCAGCGCGACGCCCATTTTCAGATGATCGCGGATCCAGAAGTTGACGCCCGCAACGAATGCGACGTCCACCCCCTTTTTCGCCATGTGCGACACTGCTCGCGCGCGCCCCGCGCGTGTGGTCGCTGTGATGGGCAGGGAGGTTGCGGAAACATTTGCCGCGGATTCGCTTCCCCGTCTGAATATCGCCTGTGCCAATTTGAACGAGCGTCTCAATGCGCGCGCGGGCGTCTCCTCCGGCGCTCGAGGAACGTCCGAGATCGCGGAGGGCCTGATCTGGGATCGCATGAGCGCTATCGGTGGCGAGAGCGGTGGAAAGAGATTCGCGCCCCTCATCAGTCATCTGATCGAAAGGATCACCTGCTGAGATATCCCCGCGAGACTGGCGTGCCGAGGCCGTGCCTGCGTACTCGGCAATGATCTGCTTGGCCTGCTCAATGAGCGCCGCCCTGTTTGCGGCCCCCTCATTGCCCTGCAGGTTGTCGTCGCAATCAGTCCGGAGAGCTTCGAGGATTTGTTCCTGAGCGGGGGCAGCAGCAGAAGCGGAGCTCCCTGGGTCAGGCGTGGGAACTGGGGGCGCGCGAGGTCTCAAGGGTGCACTGTGACCAAATGGGTGCGGAGATATATCGGCGCCAGCCTCGGGGATGCGCGCATCAGGTCGTCGCGCGCTGGCAGGTCCCGCATCTGTCTGGTCGCTGAGCATGGGGGAGTCTGACTCTAAGTATCCCTGGGATGTCTTGTCAGATGCGACAGTATCTTACCATAACTTCCGCAAGGCAATGCGGCCCAGGTGTTTACACTGAACATGCCCGGGGCAGGCTCTACCAAGCACTCATGAGCTTTGGTAAAGATTGCGGCGCACGTAATGGATATCCAATGGAAATGCTGCAATCATCGTCATCATTGTAATCCAGGCGCCAGATCGAGGACTGGATGAAGCGTGCATGACCACGCAATTTTGGAAGCTCAATGAAGTGCTGAGTGATGTCGCACACCCATATGTCGACCAATGGTTTGGATATCCCAATGCACATACCTGAATCGGTGGCTTCCTTGATCGCATCAGCGCAACCATGGTCGTCCAACCAAATTCTCAAGTGAGCCGACAATCCTCA